CAGCAGCCAAGTTGTCCCAGAGCTCAGGGGATGCCTTCTGGGGAATCTCTATCTGGACACTGAGTTCTGAGTTTGGAGGATGTTCCCCTCTTGCTAGGCTTTAATTTACTCTGGGATAGCTGTCAGAGATTTCATGCTCTCCTTCACAGAGAGGGGCTACAATATTCTTGTGAGGTGAGCTTTGCTCTAAGGTCTGTGAGAGATAGTTTTTTTTTGTCCACCTGGGCACCAAGTGTCAAGTGGTGTGGGCCCTATTCAATGCTTGAATATCTATCATTGATCTGTGGCCACAACAGTTTTCTTGGAGTTATGCTACTTCAAGGTTAGTGGTTGCTATATGCCTTGTTTAGTAGGCTGTTCAGACAGTACGTAAGCAAAAACTGACTGACATCTTATTTGGACAAAAATGATGATTAAATTTGGGCCGAGATGAAGAAGAAATTGTCAACCCCAGGCAGAAGGCAGAGGAAGGAGAAAGGCACTAAGGACATTAGTGCACTGGTGAGAGGTGGGCTGAGTACATTTTGTTCAGGCAAGTGGCAGAATGCAGAGCCAACAGGCTGCATGCTGTATCCAAGCTTGGCTGTGAGAAAAATATCTCAGCTGAATGAACGCTGTGAACAATGAACTGCCAACTAGGGACTATATCCAGCTATGTTAGTGTTTCTAATTACAGAGCTAAAGTGCTGTGTTATAGGAAACAAATACCGAACCAGCACGCTAAGAAAGAGTCCCTCATTAATGGTATTTTTAGTTAGCATTGAAATTCCAGAATGGATTATTTATGGTTTTATTTAGATAGAGAATTGGGAGGTATGGAGGAGTGTGAAGAGACACACAGGAATAAATGAGAACTATTCTAATGCATTCACCAGTTTAGAAATGATGCTTATTCTAATCTATAGTGTTCCTGACATATCACACACACACACACACACACACACACACACACACACACACACACACACACACACACACACGTATAAGACATTTCTGTATTATTATAACCATCTTCACATATGCCCCTTACACTGTTTAGATACCTTCTAAAGAATTGCATTGCTCAATACACCTGCTACTCCCAGTCTACAGATGGGGATGGGACTCAGAGAGGACCAGACATCCTAATGCCATTTACAGACATCTATCACATTCTTAACTTAGTATATTTCCACTGCTTAGCTGCAGCTGTTCCAAAAGAGGGGGAGTTACCTTTTGATTTGGAAATCTCACCTGTCAAATAGAAATTACACTTCACAGAAATTCTCACTTGATTCTAGAAAGTTTTACTTTTTCTAGAAAATATTTAAATGGACCTTCAAATGCACTATTCACAGAATTCCTTTTGAGTGTCAAAATGCCCGTTTTCTGTTGCACGTCTTTTTCATTCTAAACACTGCTTACGTCTTTTCTCTCAGCCCAGCCAGGACTCCTAGAGTTTCTCCACATGTACAGACATCTTTAAAGATCAACAGCTCTTGACTTCTGCACCATCCTGTGTTTTACATTCTCCTCTTGCTTCTGTCTATGAACCTCCATCTTTTCCTCTCCCACTGCAGACCCACTCTTTCCTCCAGTTCTTCCTCTTGTGAGTCTGGTTAGCTATAAACTTGGACATCTTGTTTTCCATCATCTGTTTTTTTCTTTAAAGATTTACATATGCTTTTTATTAGCATGCATGTGTGTGTATCACATGTGTGCAGGTGCCCACAGAGGCCAAAGGAGGTTGTCAGAACTCCGGGGCTGGAGTTACAGACATCTGTGAGCTGACCCAAGCTTGGATCCCTTGAAAGAGCACCAAGTGCTCTTAACTTCTGAACCATCTCTCCAGCTTATACGATATGTTCTTAATTTGAACTTCTTGTTTTTAGTTTCTCAACTAATTAGAAAAGGTGATAAGTATCTCCTTGATGTTTTTGTGAATTTTTGTTGTGCTTGGGTCTGAAAACATGTCTGTATGCTAGTATCTGGATTTACTTAGAGTTTATTTGACTGTGTATATTAATATACTTGTTAAATTTATTCTTTTATATTAAACACAACACATTTTTCCAGGTTTTCCATGTTGGCTTGAAATGAATGAACTTGTCAGACTCACTATTAAACTCTTGTGTTAAACTTGTAAGACTCCCAAATTCTCCGATTTCTTTTAGTTTTTTGTCTTCTTGACTTAGCACTTAATTTTTTCCACTCAAGTTCCAACGTCTTTGTGGTTGCTGTTTTTAAGTGGTGTATAAAATGTATCTTTTAAAAATTTAGTCCAAATACATTTGTCTTTAATCGATGTGTCTAATTGATTTATTGTGAATAGATTTAGATAGATGTTTCATTTCCCATAGATGTTTTCTGTGATTTCTCAAAATCATAGTTTTGTAAATTTTCCCTCTCCTGTTTATCTTAACTTGATTTTTATTGCTATCACATTTAGCAGCTTATCTTTCAAACAGATCACACACATTAGGTTTTTATACCATGCTTTTATATATTTAGTTACCTAGAATTTTAGTTTCTTTAGTTTTTTGTGTATGCAAAATTTGCTGGGTTATGGCATACATGTAACATATAGATATCCACATATGTGACATATAGCTTACTTAAGTGTACAGTATATATTGAGTATAGTATAAAAAATATATCCTTTATTTCTTTTAAGCTGAACCATCTCTCCAGGTTACAAGTTAATTCCCTAAAACATGGGACAATACAGTTCTTATTTTTCTAATTTTTTTCATATATATGTATGGTGGTTTCTACACATGTGTGTATGTGTGCTTGAGTATGTGGGCACACGTGTGCAAGGTTGCACAAGTATACATTCCCATGGAGATCTAAGGTTGATATTCGGTGTATTTCTAGATCAGTTTACACCTATATACTGAGGCAAGGTATACTGTTAAACCTGGAGACCATTTCAATTAGTCTGTCAAGACAGCTTGCTCTAGCGATCCCTGATGACTTGCATGCATTGGAATTCTAAGCTGGCCTCCCAACCCACTCAGCTTTTATGTTAGTTCTGTGGATCTGAATTCCACTTATCATGCTTATGCACCAAGTGTTTTATTAGCTGAGCCATGACCCTAATCCTCACACATTCATTTTAGTTATATGGACTTTATAACATGTTTATAATTTCATACAACTAATTTTCAGTCTTTATTTCTCCAATGGTGAGCACAAATCCTACGAGTTAAAACTCAAAGTGAATATAGCTAGAATATAAAATCAACTAGCTGGGCTCACGAAAACAATAGACTGGTGCGTTGAATGAGCAATGTCCTCCAGAGGTTCAGGTAGTCCAACACTTGGTTTCCAGTTAGTTTGGGAGGTTATGGAACTTTAAGAGGTGGCGCCTTGCTGGAGGAGGAGGTGGGCTTGCAGGTTTGTAGCCTTTCCCACTCTGATTTCTCTATGTGATTAAAAATGTGGCTTCTCAGTTCCCTGCTGCCGCGTCTCCCTCGCCATCATGGACTCTTAGCTTCCTCGAGTTGTACACCAAAGTAAAAACTCTTGCGTCCTCGGAGTTGCGTTTGGTCTTGGTGTTCTGTCGCAGTGAGGGAAGAGGAGCTAATGCAGAAGCTGGTGCCAGAGCGGCATCTCCTGCAGCACAGAGTAACTAATACGCTGGTGTTTGTTTAAATACTGATTGCACTTGTCACGGATTCCTTTGTAATTAGTCTGTTTCATATGTGGTCTGGAGTTTGACACAACTAACATCAAATTCACCTCTACTCTTTTGAGCAATCACCTAGTAAAATAAGTAATAGCAGGAGCATGGAAACTGGTACTGGTATCTTAGGCTGTACCTCTAGTGTGCTATGTACCTCGTTAGGAGACACAAGCTATGGCATTACAGGTTCCCTTGTCCCTGTCCATGCTGGGGTAGTGAGGAGGGGAGGGAGTAATTTTAAAGGGATTTAAAGTAGAAAAGGAGGTTAAATTCATAATAAATACATTTCCATATTCTGAGTTCACAGATATGAATATTAGCTCTTAAGCTTGAGGAATACTTACTGTATATAGGTATTACTTATGTGTTCATGCTAAACCAGTGTGGTCTGTCCCACAGAGCAAGATTGAGAGCTCTCAGGCCACACACCGATGGTTAGCAACCTTTTTCCCCCCTGATTTTGGTTAATTTCCCTGAGCCACAAAAACTCCAGGGAAAACAAACTAACTCCGTGAAAATAATTTAAAGAGGTGTTAATTTATTTTGACTTTGTAACTGTCTTTCTTTTGGGCTCAGAAGATTACAGTTTGGAAACTACAGTATGGACTGGGAGAAACTGCCCTGTGGACACTAGAAACACCTGCTTCCACTAATGATCCAAAGCCTGATGGCTGGGCTGGGGCTAGCTATTTAACAGCAGAGTATGTGCCGAGCCTGTGGGGCCTGAGAGCTTCCTTCTGCATTTTGAGACATTCCGTATTTCTGGACCTCCAGTGCATGCTGCAAAGCCTTTTCTGAGGGGCACAGGGAACAGCCCTGCTGCACAGGAGACATTCTGCAGGCTGGAAGTCAGTCTCACTGGTGACGTCTTCTCTCATACACTGAATCTGGAGTTTTAAATTTTTAAGCAATTATTGTGTGTGTGTGTGTGTGTAGATGTGTGCATGTGTGTGCCTCCCTCTGGATGGAAGACAAAGGATCCTTTGCATGGTTATCTTCTCCTATCACGTGGGTCCTGGGGATTGGCTCAGGCAGGGTGGGAGGCTTAGTGGCAAGTACCTTTACCTGCTGAGCCATCTTGCAGGCCTGAAATCTTTATTTATTTTTAAAAAGACGACATGAAACTAGAAGAGACTAGTAGAAAAAAGAGGATGACCAGGAGGGGAAAGGAAGGTAGGAGGATGAAGTGAGAGTTAACACAACCAAACTGTATCGTGTATACTCATGAAAATATCACAACAAAATCCATTTCTTGTACAATGAGTGTAAGCTAATAAAATATCCTCATTTTGCAACAGAATGATATTCTCACGGTAAGCAGTGCGTGACATACCTGCCCCAGGCTGCCTCATTTGTAGATGCTTTATTAACTGGAACACAGGAGGAATCAATGACAGCTGAACTGTTCATCTTATAGCAGAATCCGCAGTCTGGATCCAGCATACACTCATTACAGTAACTGAAATATGAAAGAATTAAAGTCATGTTAGCCTGGTTGTAGAGACCCACAGAGGTTTCCTAGTGAGAACTTACCAAAGTCCAAGAATCTGAGCTTGCTTTACCCAGCAGGGCTGCATAAGGGGATAATTTGACCACAGGCATGGTTCCCAGGTGTTTGGAAGGGTCTACACTTGGCTGTGTGGTGTGCTTTGATCTTGCAAGGGCGAGGTCTTTTGCCCCGCCCCTTGGCATTGTTATAAAAAGCCCTTTTGAAGAGCCAGAAGGGACTGGTGGGTTTTGATCCAGGTCCTTCCAAAGCCATCCCGTGTTTCTGTCTTTCTCCTTTTTCAATACCTTTCTATCTGAAAGTTTCTTATCCCTCTCTCCTCCTCGAAGGAATCCTTTTAAAAAGTGGGAGCTGGCCTCCCACACCTGGTCAACTGGGGCTTGTTACATACCAAATTCCAGATGCTGCCACCACAGCTCACACTATTTTCTTAGCTTTGGCCAAGCCAAGTGATATGCCCAGATCTAGGTGGTAACTGATGGTCACTTTCATCTCTCCAGGCAGATTAGAGCAATTCTGTAAGCTACTGTGTGGTAAGGGGGTCACAGAACAAGTCTGGTAGACCGCAGTGAAAATACTGCTTTCCTCAATCACTGATATTTATTACTGATCAGTCTATCTGGATCCAGTCTGGAGGAGTTTTTAGTTACAGTAAAACATTCATTTCTTGTGTCTCTCTCCTTCACGTTCCATCTATATTAAAAACTGGAAATGTCTTCTTCCATATATATGCATACATATGCATACACACACATATATTTAAAACAATGAGACAGAATTTTTGAAGTAAATCTTTAACAAAATTACAAATACCCCAAATCCAGCCATTGCCAACATCTTGGTGGAGATTTGTACCCTTAATATTATCATATTGAGTTCCAACTGCGCACTAATCTTAGCTGAAAACTAGTGAGTATAGGAAGAAAGGCTAATGTGAACTAATTACAACTGTGGCCAGATCACAGAGAGGCACTCAATGAGTCACTATTCACTTAACAAAATTATTGAACAGAGAAGTCTGAGGTGGGCAGAGTTTCCCAACCTTAGCCTACAGCATGGGTGTGGAATGAGTTTTCTTCTGGGCACCATATCCTGTGACATGTAGTTCTACAGCCCTTCATGTACAACCCAGGCACATGCAGCATTGGTAATATTACAGGTGAATCAATCAAGACTGTGATTTGTGGCAGATAAAAGGTGAGGAGGAGAAATAGATGTACATGACAATAGTCATACCAGGGCAAAGGGCTGACTTCCTTCCTAAAAGGCAGAGGAGGTGTCAAGAGCTGGAAATAAGTTCAGAGATAATAGCTGAAGTAAGTCCTAAGAGAAATTTACTAGGCAAAGAAAAAAGATATTATAGAAGAATGGGCTATTTTGTTGTTAGAAGACCATTCAGCACAAAATTAATAATACTCTGCACAAGTAATTATCAGGGGGAGAAACAGGCCATTAGAAAAGGATGTCTGAGCCGGGCGGTGGTGGCGCACGCCTTTAATCCCAGCACTCGGGAGGCAGAGCCAGGCGGATCTCTGTGAGTTCGAGGCCAGCCTGGTCTCCAAAGCGAGTTCCAGGAAAGGCGCAAAGCTACACAGAGAAACCCTGTCTCGAAAAAACAAAACAAAACAAAACAAAACAAAAAAAAAAAAAAAAAGAAAAGGATGTCTGTGAGACACGCAAAGAATCCAAAGACACGAAGGATGATGGTATTTCTCAGTGCTCTAAGTTGAAATGCCCTTTGGCTCATTTAACTAAAAGTTAAGACATCTGCATTGCTTAAAAGTTAGATTTATCTTCATGTAAGTGTCCTGCTGTCAACTTTCCCCTTTTTTGCATGGAACTTCAATCACAGACAGAACGCAGGGGAGATCTGTAAGCACTCACGGAAGGTCCGGCTTTTGCGGATGCTTGTTTACCTTAGAGACAGGTAAGAAAAGGGTACTCCCTTTCCTCCCCGCCATCTACTTCACAGGGAACACTGAAGGTTACTGTGTGAACTTCATCGGCTTCTAAGCTTGGACAGGAGCAAAGCCAGGCCTGTCCTTACTTGTTTTTCCTCCAGGCCCTGAAAAGAAGGAGCTCCTAGTGTCTGAGGACCAGAGCTCTGCATCTGCTCCCCTCTGGCCATCACCATGACTAACACTGTGACAATGGCTATACTCTTCTCTCAGAACACAGCCCACAGTTTATGTGGATGCCCAACTGTTTCCTGGATTTAAAAAATTGTGGAAAGCTTCCTTCCTGATAGTCCACGTGGATCCCCCAGGGTTCTCTCAATGAAAGGAAGGCAAACATTGAAAATGGATATTGCCAGTCCCTACCTTGACATGCAGCTTTCAGGCCTCTAGAGGTGAGACAAAGTTCTCTGGTACTCTGTCATCCTTGACTGGGATTTCTTTGCTTTCCAATCACATACAGCATTTTATGGAAAAAAATTATTCTAAATACCACAACATGCCTAACATTCACTTGACATTCTGAAGTTAACGGTAAACATTATATACCATGGAGATGACCTAAATGACCTTTTATCAAGAACATAGCTCAGGACTGTGGTTTTCACAAACGTCATTAACAAGAAGCATAGCTAGAAGGGGCCATTCTTCACTAAAGGTATCCTATACATAGAATCTATCAATGAAACCCAAGAGCAATGCTTGTAGGAATTGCCAAGCACAGGTTGCTTTTCATGTGTGAAACCTGCTTGCCCCTTAAAAAAACGTGACCCTGAAGAAGCTCTAAATTCTAGACTTTAAGTGTTATATACCAAGAGCACATGACCTCGAAGGACCCATTCATAATCTAACTAAGACAGATGCATCATTTAACTCTAAATTCCCCACTTCTTAATATGTGGGAGCAGGGTACTGTTAGGTCCATAACAGGCCCCCAAATGGTAGTGCTGCTGGCAAGGTCATAAATGACAGTGGGCTGAGCTCAGGTTGGACTCTGACTGGGTGAACAGAAGGATTGCTAACAGATAAACAAAAGCTCATACTCAGCAAGCATTCCTTTGGAATGGGTAAAGTGGGTATCTGCTTGTCAGAAAAAAATCTGCCACTTCCTTCATCTGACTGCTACAGCCAACTACCTCTGGTAATAGGGCATCTAGTTCCCTATTAGTCAAACAAACTTGTAACAGATTGAAGTCTTCACCCAGTTCCCAGGCTGCTCTGGCCTATAAACCCCCTTCCTATATTCTAGCTCCCAGGCTTTTCTAGCACACAGACCCCCTCCTGCTACAGCATGTCACAAGAGATAGCCTCGGCAATCTGAATTTCCCCGTGGTCCAGTTGGGTGGTCGCACTGTACCCTCGCTTACAGGTACTTACCACACGGTGTCACAGGGGTATCTGCGCAGATAGCAAAAACTATAGTTGTGGCCTAACATTAAGAAATTGTACAGTTTCTTTTTTATTTAATAAAAATGTTATTTTCATTATGTGTGCGATTGTGTGCAGGTAAGGGCATGTGGGGGATAAAAGGACAACTTTGGGGGGCCAGTTTTAATCTCCTTCTATGTGGAATCTGGGGCTCGAACACAGGCTGTCAGGTGCATAAGAAGCACCTTTACCCACGGTGCCATCTCACCAGCCCAAGAGACTATGTATCCTCGAAAGGAAGTTAATTAAAAAGGCACGGATAAAAGGATTCCGCTGTGTAAAAGAACTGCTGAGTGAAAGGAATGAGACCCCCTCCTACTGGTACACAGTTTTTTGAAATCAGTCTTTTGCTCTGCTCTGCCACATCTCTGTGGATGATGCCTTTTATCAATCCGTTTACAACTGGGGCGTCCCCAGGGCTAAGATCCTGCTCATAGCTTCTGTAACGTGCAGACCAGCATCTAGCTCAGCATAGGCTGGCTTCCCAGGGTGCACCGCAGCTTTCTAACTCACCTCAGCACACTTTGGTAGATTTTTAGCCTATTCTGGAAAATAATTCTGAGGGGCGGGTGGCTGAAGGTGAATGCCTACGTCATGAAATAAAAAGAATTTAACCATCGAAGAACAAGCTACAGCTTGTTTTTAGATTGCTGGAGGCAAAAGCAGTTATGAACAGGCGATCAACAGTAAAAATGGAGGAATAGCTTAATAACCTTTATAATTAACTTTCAGAGAGAAATAAACTGCAAAGCTAATTTCCCTCAAGCCTACACAGCAGAAACACACTCTCTCTCTCTCTCTCTCTCTCTCTCTCTCTCTCTCTCTCTCTCTCTCTCTCCTCTCTCTCTCTCTCTCTCTCTCTGTCTCTCTCTCTCTCTCTCTCTCTCTCTCTCTCTCTCTCTCTCTCTCTCTCTCTCACACACACACACACACACACACACACACACACACACCACAGCCTTGCCTTAAATTACAGCCTTCAAATACCATAGTAAAAGGTAATAGCATTATTTAGATATACCTTATGCAATTTAAGGGTGATGGAAGCTTGCAGTCTTGGACTTGGAAGAGAGTGTAAGCCCTGAAAAGGAGCTCAACCATGGGAAGTGCTGGGGAACTGAGGGCAGAGCTCAGAGAAATCAGTAAGACTAGAAACCAGCAGCCAGGTGGTAATTCTGAGAAACAAATGTGCTTCTCTTGCTTGCTGGAGGGAGGAGATTTGCCTTCAAAATCTCTGAGGTTTCTTTTTAGAAATGGGGTGGGGGGCACAAATAGGGATTCATATATTTAGAGCAGCTCTGGTTCTAAGAAATCCAAATGTTTCTAGCCAAAGAAGAGAGAAATAAAGGCCCCAGCTTCAGGTCTAGCATCCAGGGGAGATAAAAGGCGGCCCGTTGTCATTCAGTAACCCAACAAAGGTGGAGTGTAGCTCAATGTGGCCTCAGGAAAAAAAAAAAATCTTTAAAACATTGACAGGGGCTAATTTAGAACATTCTTAATTTCTACTCAGAAGTCGATAAATTTGACTGTGTAGAAAATGGTCCAGTTTCTTAAGTGTGTCTCATTAAA